AGGGGGAGAGACGGGGGAAAGCAACGCCGGAGGGAGCCAGGCGACATGGGACCCGCAGAGAAGAGGTGATCTTAGTGCTTCTGCAGGGAACACTTTCTGGCAACAACATGAAGCAGGTATAAATGTTAGGGACCCACTGGGGAGAGAGGCAAATGGGAGAAGTGTGTGAACCCACCCAGTTTTAGTGGGGGGAAGGAGGGGCAGGTTGGAGGAGGGGCTGAGGTGTGATGGGAGGGCTTTGTCCAGTGCAGCTGTAGGAGTGAAGGGAGACCCTGGGGTTTCTATGCTGGAAGACACGTCACTTACAGAGAGAACATTTTTAAGGAGGAAGGTGCAGAGCTCTGCTTTGGACATGCACATGCAGAAGAGGGACCTGGGGACACTCAGGGGGAGATGTTCAGATGTGATACACACACAGACATGACCAGGCTGGAGCAGACCTGTGAGCCCCTGATGATGGGATAAGGTGTGCTCACCCAGGAAGGCCTGCAGGACGACAGAACAGAGGGAAAAGGAGCCAGAGAGCAGAGGATGAGCCAGGGTGGGTGGGGAGGCAGGAGGGGAGCTGCATCACAGAAGCCCCAGCAGGGGGGCATCGGCACAAAGAGCAAATGGTCTGAGTGATGAAATGCCACTGACCTTGACAAGTGAGTGGTTCCTGGCCATCACAGCAAGGGCAGTGTTGCTCAAGGGGCAGGTGGGGAAGCCTGGGGACAATGGGCTGGGGGATGCAGGCGATAGATAAAGCTGAGACTGCTAGATAAATAAATGCCTAAACATCTCACCTGAGGTTGCAAGCCCCCTTTAATCAGAATTGTGTCCTTCGGTACACCCATGTTCATAGAAGCACTACTTGCAATAGCCAAAAGGTGGAAGCAACCTGGGCATCCATTGACAGATGACTGAATAACAAAATGTTGTATGTACGTTCAATGGAGCATTACTCAGCCTTAAAAAGGAAGAAAATTCTGACACATGTGACAACATGGATGAACCTGGAGGACATTATGCTAAGTGAAATAAGCCAATCACAAAACGGCAAGTACTGCATGATTCCAGTTATATGACGTACCTAGAGTAGACAAAATTATAGAGACAGAAAGTAGAGGGTGGCTGCCAGGGATGGGGTGGGGGGTCGGGGAGGGAATGGGGAGTTAGTATTCAGTGGGTAGAGTTTCAGTTTTGTAAGATGAAGAGAGTTCTGTGGATGCATGGTGGTGATGGTAGCACACAAGTGTGACTGTGCTTAATGCCACGGAACTGTATATACACTTAAAAATGGTTAAAATGGTAAGTTTTATGTTACGTGTATTTTACCACAAATAAAAAAAATATGTCTCTCTGGGACTTCCCTGGTGGCACAGTGGTTAAGAATCCACCTGCCAATGCAGGGGACATGGGTTCGAGCCCTGGTCCAGGAAGATCCCACATGCTGCAGAGCAACTAAGCCCTTGAGCCACAACTACTGAAGCCCACATGCCCTAGAGCCTGCGCGCCACAACTACTGAGCCTGCGTGCCACAACTACTGAGCACACATGCCACAACTACTGAAGCCTGCACGCCTAGAGCCCGTGCTCCACAACAAGAGAAGCCACCACATGAGAAGCTCGCCCACTGCAATGAAGAGTAGCCCCCGCTTGCCGCAACTAGAGAAAGCCCGCGCCCGGTAGCAAAGACCCAATGCAGCCAAAAAAAAACAAACAAAAAAAACCCTTAAAAAAACTGTCTTTCTTTCAGCATAGGTATAGAAAACCTGAACTTCTGGAATTGAATAGCATGTCTATGTCAAGAGAGGTGAGAGCCAATCTTTTTCTGCGACTGTAAACTATTCCGCCAGCAGGCTTGGCAGTGAAAGGAAGGGAGTGATGGGGCGGTGACCTAATGGTAAGGCCGGGCTGGGAGAAGGCTTTTTTTTTTTTTGGTGATGGGAGGACAGTTTTCAACTGGAAGTGGAGAGGTAAGCCAGAGCCAGAGACACTCATTTCTCAAACTGGAAGAAAGGAAGAAAGAGAAAATGAAGGAGGGAGGAGGAAAGGTGAGGAAGCTCCCTCCAGACGGCCCTGAGCATCCCAGGGCCACAGGTGGTGGGGTCATCTGGAGAGGGGAGGGCAACAGGTAGGAGACCCAGAGAGAGTGGAGAAGCTAGGCTGGCTGGCATGGGAGCAACAGGGAGGACAGAGGGCTGGTTGGGCAGCAAGGAGGGCCCAGCTGGCTGTAAAGCACAGAGCACACCATCTGGAACTATCACGAAGCCTGGGGCAGCGATCCTCAAAGGATGGTCCCCGGTCTCTGGACCAGCAGCATCACTGAGGAGCTTGTTAGAAATGCAAATTATGGGACTTCCCTGGCAGTCCAGTGGTTAAGACTCCGGGCTTCCACTGCAGGGGCCACAGGTTTGATCCCTGGTCGGGGAGCTAAAATCCCGCAGGCCATGTGGCCTGGCCAAAAAGTTTTAAAAAAGTGCTAAAAAAAAAAGAAATGCAAATTCTGAGGCCTCACCTGAGTCTGATTCAGACCCACTGACTCAGAAACTCTGCGGGTGGGGCATAGCAGCTTGTGTTTTAAAAGGCGATTCTGATGTGCTAAAGTTTGAGAAACAGTAGTACAGAATACAGAAACTCAATGGAAGGTATATATCATCTTCTTACATAAAAACGAAAAAAAAACAATCAGCCTAGCAGGGCTTCCCTGGTGGTGCAGTGGTTAAGAATCCACCTGCCAGTGCATGGGACATGGGTTTGAGCCCTGGTCCAGGAAGATCCCACATGCCGCGGAACAACTAAGCCTGTGCACCACAACTACTGAGCCTGTGCTCTAGAGCCCACGAGCCACAGCTACTGAGCCCGCATGCCACAACTACTGAAGTCCGCATGCCTAGAGCCCGAGATCCACAACAAGAGAAGCCACCGCAATGAGAAGCCCGAGCACAGCAACGAACACTCAATGCAGCCAAAAATAAATTAATCAAAAGAAAAATCAGCCTAGCAACTTCTACATAAAAGAGCAAGAAATGCACAACTATTAATACTTTGATGCCAATACAGCTTATTTCTACAGTTAGACAAATGCCAAAAGATGTTAACAAAATGATAGAAATATACAGTCTATTTAATAAACTTCCTTAGATGATATCTAGAAAACACACCCAAGATCTGGGGGCTGGAAACTATATGATTCAGGTACCAGTCCCTGCTCTGTGACTATCTGTGTGCCCTGAGCATGCCTCAGTTTCCCCACCTGTAAAGAGAGGGAGCTGGAAAAGATTCTTCTGAGGTCCTTTCCAGTTCAGACACTGTGTGACCCTCTCTGTCCTGTAAAAGGTGACCTCAAACTCAATGCTTTTACATAGCTATGCCTGGGTGGGGTGGGGGAGAACATTTTTAACCAGTAAACATAGTATCACAGTTAACCAGAAAAATTTCCAAAGTTCAGTAAGTGCTAGTATCTTGCATTCTAATAACTAGAAATTCTAACTGGCTTTTCCCTTAAAGCCACCAATGCCTGGACTTATAAAAACACTATACTGCACTGGACCATGTTCTTGAAGTCCACAGGACTAGGATGCCCCAGAAAATCTCTATACCTTCACATTTTCACCCTATAAAACAGGCATACCTCAGAGATACTGTGGGTTCCGTTCCAGAACACCGCAATAAAGCAAATATCGCAATAAAAAGAGTCACACACATTTTTTTGGTTTCCCAGTGCATATAAAAATTATGTTTGCACTATACTGTAGTTTATTAAGTGTATAACAGCATTATGTCTAAAAAACAATATACATACCTTAATTAAACATATTTTATTGCTAAAAAAAATGCTAACCATCATTTGAGCCTTCAGTGACTCATTACCTTTTGCCAGTAGAGTGTTTGAAATATTGCGAGAATTACCAAAAGGTGACACAGAGACCCGAAGTGAGCAAATGCTGTTGGAAAAATGGCACCAAGAGACCTGACTGATGCAGGGTTGCCATAAACCTTCAATGTAAAAAACACAGTATCTGCGAAGCCCAATACAATGAGGTATGCCTACACTTTTTAATCCAGGAAGGCAGAGTTCGTGTTTTTTGCTAGGCAGAAAATGAGTTAAGGAACTGGACTAATCAGACACCAGTGCCTGCCCCTGTGACCAAGTGTCAGGCATTCAATACTGCAACTCTAGGCTTCCTGATAAATGACCCTGTATTGGCCTTGTTACCAGACTCCCTAGATGCTGGTTTCCTGCCTGGTCTCTCTGCATCCAAGTCCTTCTCTGCACCTTCTAGTCATTCAATGCCCATCCTCTTGTGCCTGGGTCCCCAATGCCAGCTGCTTCCGTGCCTCTGCCAAAGACCAGCAACTCGGTTCTGATCTCAGAACTAGGGCTGGAAGAGGAACCTGGGTGTCTGCGCACGAAAGACAGGTGGAAGTGTGAGCGTGGCGGGGGCCGGGTGGGAAAGATTAGGTCTAGGGAAACTCTGGTCTCCAGCCATACCTCACTTACACACCCTGGCTCTTAAATTCCATTAAAATTGGGTCAGTAGGAAGCACAGCTGGCCTGTTTTCCCCCCTGTGCATGTATCACAAACCCCATCCCCCCTCCTCCATCCAGCCTGGGTTTGGAAGTGATGTTCCAGGCTCTCTCAGTCCCTGTGGCAGGAAGGAACAGGTGAGGGGAGGGCTGAAACAAAGTGGATGTAGCAGGAGAAAGGCTGGGAGGGGCACACCAAGGGAGGTGCAACCACAGAGAGGACCAAAGCCACTAATATGGGCCTGGCAGGCAATGCCAGGGAGATGAGTTTCGCTTTGTCCAGGCAGAAAATTCCTACTGCTAGAGGGTTTTCTAGGCTGATCCCCAGGCACTGATCTCCAACTTCAAAGTCACCTTTGGGTAGAGTGACCACATATCCTGATTTGTCCAGGATAGCCCAAGTTGAAGTTACTTGACTAGATGCAATTATTAACAGCTCCTCATTTATTCTCAAAACGTTCTGGTTTGGATTAGAAATTCTAGTTACCTTATTCTTGGGCCCCTCGGCCTAGGAAGTCAGAGTTGCATTTGGAGAAGGCACTCAGTGTCAGGAGGAACGTGCAGGCTGAGTCTTGCCCCTCACCAAATGTTCTGTTCTCCACTCTAGCGTCCCTGCCAAGCCATGGCCCGGCGTCCGCTTGTATTCCTGCAGAGACAGCAGCTCACTATCCCTGGAGGAAGCCTCTCTTTTGTGGGGAAAGCTGTGTTATTAAAAAAGAATATCAGGGTAGATGAACGAACAAAGAAGATGTGGTGTATATATACAATGGAACATTACTCAGCCATAAAAAAGAATAAAACCTTGCCATTTGTGGGAACACGGATCTAGAGGAGGGGTCCGCAACCCCCGGGTTGCAGACCGGTACTGGGCCGCCGCCTGTTAGGAACCAGGCAGCACAGAAGGAGGTGAGCAGTGGGTGAGCGAGGAAAGCTTCATCTGCCGCTCCCCACTGCTCCCCTTCGCTCCCCATCGCTCCCCTTCACTCCCCATCGCTCCCCATCCCTCCCCATCGCTCCCCACTGCTCCCCTTCGCTCCCCACCCCTCCGCATTGCTCCCCATCCCTCCTCATTGCTCGCATTACCGCCTGAACCATTCCCACTGCCATCCATGGAAAAACTGTCTTCCACGAAACCCGTCCCTGGTGCCAAAAAGGTTGGGGACCACTGAACTAGAGGGTATTATGCTAAGTGAGGTAAGCCAGACAGAGAAAGACAAATACTGTATGACTTCACTTACATGTGAAATCTAAAAAAACAGAAGAACAAATGAAACAAAACAGAAATAGACTCATAGATACAGAGGACAAACAGATGGTTGCAGGGGGTGGGGGGATAGGTTGGGCAAACTAGGTGAAGGGATTAAGAAGTACAAACTTCCAGTTATAAAATACATAAGCCACAGGGATGTAATATACAGCTTAAGGAATGTAGACCACACTATGTAATAACTTTGTATGGGGACAGATGGTTACTAGACTTATCGTGGTGATCATTTCATAATGTAGGCAAATGTCGAATCTCTACGTTGTTCACCTGAAACTGACATAATATTGTATGTCAACTATACTTCCAGTAAAAAATAAATGCATAAAAGTTAAAGTAGCAAGATTCAAATCTATATACAGCAAGATGGCAACTAAATAACAACATTCTGGGCTTCCCTGGTGGCACAGGGGTTAAGAATCCGCCTGCCAATGCAAGGGGACACAGGTTCGAGGCCTGGGCCAGGAAGATCCCACGTGCTGTGGAGCAACTAAGCCTGTGCGCCACAACTACTGAGCCTGCGTGCCACAACTACTGAAGCCCGCGTGCCTAGAGCCTGTGCTCCCCAACAAGAGAAGCCACTGCAATGAGAAGCCCGCGCACGGCAACGAAGAGTAGCCCCCACTCGCCGCAACTAGAGAAAGCCCGCGCGCAGCAACAAAGACCCAACGCAGCCAAAAATAAATTAAAAAAAACAAAAAAACCCAAAACATCCTTCTGCTGAAAGGAGTGGGAGTGGGGGAGACTAGACAACCTGCTGACTTTTTTCATTCAGCAAATGTTAACTGAGTGCATTTGATGTTTCAGTGGCATTGAAGACACATGGTGGGTTAAAACAGACTCAAACTGAGGAGAATTCTACCAAATAACTGGCCTGTATTCTCCAAAAATGTCAAGGTCACAAAAGACAAAGAAAGCCTGAGGAACTGCTCTAATTTAAAGGAGACTGAAGAGACATAAGCACATGCAACGCACGATCTGGGGTTTTCTTTGCTACAAAGGACACTACCAAGACAACTGGCAAAGCCTGTAGGTCTGTAGATTAGATAACAGTACTGTATCAATACTGATTTCTTGTTTAAAAAGTGTACCATGGTTATATAGGAGAATGTCATTGGTTTTAGGAAATACACTGAAGTATTTAGGGGGAAAGGAAGACTCTATAAATGATCCTCAAATGGTTTAGGAAAAAAATGTATACCCAGAGAGAAGAATAAAATAAATGTATAAAACGGTAACATTTGACAAATCTGGGTGAAGGGTATATGGGAGTTCTCTGTTCTATTCTTGGAACTTCTCTGTAAGTCTGAATTAGGTCAAAATAAAAAGTTAAAAGAAAAAAAATAAGTCTCAAAGAAAGTGTGTGTGTGGTGTGTGCATGTGTGTTTAAAGGAAGAGAGACCCTGATTTCACAGAGCTCACAGTGTAGCTGGGGAGACGGGTACTAATACAAATAATTACACTAATTAAGCACAAAATTGCAGCTGTGAAAAGTGCTGTAAAAGGAGAGAGACCTGGGGGCCAGAATGTGAGCGTTTACAGCAGGCAGTTTTACCCACAGCAGGAAGGCGAGGGGAGGCATCTACAATCATGCAGCCAAGGCCCAAAGAATGAGTTAACTGGGGAGGAGGGGAGGAAGGTTCCAGATTCTCACTGGCCCTGTGAGCAGAGACAGCATGGGGACCAAAGCATGTACACCAGGGCCTGCAGGAGATGCCAACATTAGTTTTGTCTTTTATTCTAAAAGCAAAAGGAAGCAGCTTTGAAAGACCCCCTCGGCTGCAGCAGAGAACAGGCTGGCATGTGGAGTCCTCCATGGTGGTGATGGTGGTGGGGAGAGCTGCTTCCAGGAAGAACACCATGCAGGATTTTTCCATTGCTCCCTGACACCTTAATTTTCTACAGCAACCATGTATGAATTTGATAACCAGACCTGGGGAGGGAATGGTGGGGGGAGCAAAGCGAGCAAGACCTGAGCTCACGCTGTCATTATCTCCACTCTAGGCCCACCAGTGGTTCGGGTCAAGGGATGGCTGACAGAGCTGGTTGCTGCCTCTCCCACCAAGACCCTCAGGTCTAGACCGAGGCTGACTCACCTGAGGGAAGTAGCGTGCAGGGACCAGGTCTTCACACTCCTCTCTCTAAGTCAGACCAGTGCCTTTCGTCAACACAGCACCCAGCTGGCCACAGCCCCTTTCTGGTCCTGGGCCCTGCCCCTTGGAACGTCCCTCTAGCCCTGTGAGCCGGGCCCTCAGCCCTGCTCTGGGAGCAGGCCATCACTCGCGACAGCCACTCTCAGCATCGAAGGCTAAACAAGGCGCTTGTCTGCGGGTCAGCGGCACAAACACAAAGGGAGGGGACCCTTTTCTGTGCCAAGTTCTACCTGAGTGGGTTTTCAGTCATTAGCTCCTTTAACGGAAACAGGTTCTATTATTATCCTCATTTTACAGTCAAGTATTCGCCTGGGGACAGACTTGAGTTCAAACCTTGGCTGTCCTCGTAGAGCAGTGTGCCCTTCCAGGAGTCATTTCATCTCTCTGAGCCTCAGTTTTCTCATCCCATCTGTAAACTGGGGCTGGTAAGTATTAGCAAGATTCTGGGGCTAGAAGGTACTATTTATTCCATTTTGAGGCTCCAAGAGGCTCAGTACAGAAAATTCAAACTACACATCGCTTAACTATTTACTAAAAGTTGTGTATCCTGACAGTAAATCACGGGACCTGAATTTTCCAGGACTATCCCAATTTCAAATGTTCTGTTCTAACTTTCCACATAAACCATCGAAATGTCTCAAAAATTCCACTCTCAGTATCCAAACAACACCTCCCAGGCCTCCTCTTGCACAAAGACGCAGCACAAACATTCTTTCTCAGACTACAGAGCCCAGTCTTTGGTTCAGAAAATGTAGCCAGTGGAGCCCTGCTGGCCCCCTGAAGGAAACGGGGTCAGGGAGAAAAATCCGGGGCAGTCAGCACTCCATCAGGACTCTCAGACTTGGCTGCTTCCTGGCACATCGATGTAAACCGCAGCCAGGAGAAGCTGTATCACGATGAGAGCATCGTCCACAGAGGGACACAGACCAGGGACGTGAGCTCTGCCCCCACCTACCTACCCAGTGGCCAGTACTCAGGGAAGCAGCATGGCCAGAGGGTTGCTACAAAGATGAAAAGATTAATATTTGGAAAGCACTCAGAACATTGCCTGGAAGCTAGTAAGTGTCATATCAGTGTGTAATAACTAAAACCAGAGGCATCCCTGGCAGAAGGTGCTCATGCCTCGGAGACAGCACAGAGGCATCGCTCCTATGCAGGACAAACAAGGAGAATGGACACATACCCCGGGATGAGTGAGGCCAGGCCCCTGTACAGAGATGGGGGGTACCCTCACTATAGGAGGTGGGTCCTGCATTAGCCAAGATCAGGAGGCTGGGCCTGGGAAGAGTCACCATTCCTGAAATACGAGAGGTCTCTTCATGCCTCTGAGTCTTTGCATCTGTCATTCTGTCTGCCCCCTGAATACCATCTTTTTCTACCTTCAAGGCTGAATTCAAATGCCAACTACTCCAACGACCCTGATGCCCGTCAGAATGAATGGCTCTCTCCATTGGGGTCTCCTGCATCTAGCTCTATCCTCTTTTAAAGCAGTTGTCAGACACATAGACAGACAGCACATGCATGCCCACATGCGTGTACACACTCACACAGAAATGTCACCATGTCACTGTCTTCCCAACTCCACCATGAATCCTTCCAAGACGGGTTCAGCTTTCATCTCTGTAACCCTAGGGCCTGACACATAGTATAGGCTCAGTAAAGGTCTGAATCTGCTGTTACATCTGTGCTCACAGCTGATCTCCCCCTGGAGGCGGAAGGCTATTACAGGTGCATCATGCATGACCGGAAGCTATGGAGATGCAAGATCTCTGGGTCTCGGAACCCATGACCAGATGAGATTTCAGCCAGGGACCCACCAAACACTCCCTTTTAGTTCCCCCTCAGGCGGATGAAAGGAGATGCCTGTGAGATCACAGTCTGCCGTTGCCAGGACCCAGACCTGGGCAGAGTGGACACTGACCTGGTCCGATCTTGTCTCTATTAGAGTTGGTCAGAAGAGCCCAGGCCTGGGAAGCTACGCCAGCTGGCTGCCCCACACTCCCAGCCTGTCAACGCCAGGGGATTGCCCTCGGCATTCCAGCCCCTGCGAAGAGATGAAGAGGGTGGCCCTGCTTCCCAGGACCATTGTCTGAAGGAAGGAAGGTGAGCCCTGGGATTACGGTCAACAGGCACTTACCTACGGAGAGAGGGAAGGACCACAAATCGCAGGTTCCCCCCATCCCCCAACATGCCACAAACCCCGAGGTTGGTGGGGGGTGGGTAGGGTGCCTTGTCTTCCTGTTCCCTCCAGTCCCCAAAGTCCTCTGGTAGATTATGTCCATCCTAGAAAATGGAATTCCTCATGTGCCTGGACCCGAAGTTCAGAAGGTCCCAGTTCGTCTCTCTAGCTCCTGGTCCCACACTACCTTTGCTAGCTGAGTTTCCTCAACCGTAAGAGGAGAGAGGGAGCACACTGAAATTAAACAATGCATGCAGAACCTCCCAGATCACAGTCAACAATCAAGGAGCTGGTCTCAATCCCCTGAGACCAATTGCCAGCTTGGAAGCCCAACTTCTTTCAGAGATAAGATTCATCTCTGACCAGGTTCCTGACACTTGAATGGGAATGTTAAAAGCCACCAGAATACCTTCTCTATGATAAAATGTGGAAATGGAGGGCTCAAAAAAGGATGGTGAAGCAGTGTGGGATCCTGAATTGGACTCTGTGTTAACTTAGGTTCTTTCTCCCACCCCAAGCTGTCCCTGACCTTGGCCTCCTGTGTGTCTGGCCTGGCCAAGACCTGCCCTCTCCTTGAGGAGAAGTTCTCCAGGCACCCCGGGTTCACTAGAGTCCACTGGCCCACTCTGCATCCCCACCCAGCACTGCATCTGCCATGTAGAAGCAGCTCAATAAATACTTGCTGAACGGAATGCCTCAGCCACTCCATCTCAGAGATGCCTTCAGTAACCTGACCTTTTACATTCCAGCTAATGTCTAATTTGCATATACGAGTTGGTTTTAGGAGACAGCAAATCACCAGGGACAAGGCAGGATCAATACAGAGTATTAGGCACGTTTTATTCTACTCTAATTCTCTGCACATTGGTATCCATCAACTGTATGCAGGATTCATGGGAGCTTACTATAAACTAGAATATTTAACTAGAATGACCTACTCTCTGTCAGACAATAGCTTACTGTTGTTAATTTTCAACTAGCCAGAAAGGTTTCCAGCTTCCAATCTACTTTACATCTTGATTTAATCATCAGAAACGCCACCTATTTGAAAGTCTCAATACAATAAAGAGCAGCCTGATGCAGAAGGAAAAGCCCTGTCCGTGGAACCAGATGACATGAGTTATATCCCAGCTACACCACGTACTGTGTAATTGACTGCTCAAAGCCTCAGTTTCCTCACCTGTAAAATGGGAATAACACCAGCCTCACAGGGGAGTTGTAAAAGTTAAATCAGTTGATGCACATGGATGTACTCTGTGCAGTTCTACAAGTCTATACAAAGGTTGGTTATTAGAGTAAAAACATAAGATGAACTTCTCAAACAACTCAGATAGGCTGATGACAGAAAGCATGGTGGTTCTAAACGGGGGAGAAAGGGAAAATTTGCACCCTGCCCCCGCACAGGGAGGGACATCGGGAAGCATTTTTGGTTGGCACAACTGAGGGAAAGGGACTGCTACTGGAATCTACTGGGTGGAGACCAAAGATGCTGCTAAACATCCCACAACGCATAGAAAAGGCCCCACAACAAAGAATTATTGAACCCCAAATGTTAACATTGTGAAAGAAACCCTAATTTCAATAATCACTGAAAGCTGGGTTTGGGAGCTTTTTAGAACAGAAATCTTCCTAACTAGGCTTTACTTTCAAAGCATCATCTGCTTAAACACTTGCAAGATGGATCATCTTGCAAAACAGCTCTTTTGTAAGTCAAGCTGAACTGCCAACTTCTGGAGTTTCTGAATGTATAAAACTGCTTTTAAAGAAGGTGCTCTCCGATTACAATTCAGCTAAATTGTTTTTCCAAAGATTTCAGTAGAGGTTCTCCCGGGCACAAAGACAGGGTCTGTCAATCTGGCACTAGGCCCTGAAGATGCTTTCATAATTCCAATTTCCTGGTGAAATGGGAGCCACGAGGGTCTCTAAACGAGTTAAATTCCCATCATGCCAACTGCTTGTTTGCTTTGGCCGGGCACGGTGCCAAACACCTCCACATAATTTATCCCACTTAATCCACCCAACAACCCAGTGAGGTGGGCATTATTACCGGCTGTTTGCAGGGGAGGAAAATGAAGATCAGAGAGGTTAGACAACTCGCCCCAAGGTCACCAGCTGGCCAAGAGGGAGCCCAACCTGAATGGAGGTCTCCAGTTTCCGAGTAACAAGCTCTTTCCACCACCTCGGAAAACCCAGGTGTCAAGTCTTCTCAACTTCCCATGAATTTTTAAGGCAACCTCAACTTCTCAGTAAGTTCAGGTTGCTGAAAACGGGAATTTCCGGGGGACTGGGCGCTCTCACATACACTCCCCCACTGCAGCTGTCTCATCGCAGGTACCTGATAAATTATTCCATATCATCCGTGGAACGGGGAGGATTTATTGGCGCTGGAGTTCGTGCCAGGCCCAGGAAATGCCATCTTTGAAAGCCGAGAGGCGAATTCGCCCTGGGAGCCGAGAAGGTTTGGCCGCCGCGCTTGGCTGGCTCCACGCGGTTTGTGCGACCCCTCGGCGTCCGGGGCAGGGGCCGCGGTTGCGGCGGCGCTGGGCCCTCCCGGATCGCCGGCCGCTGGGCCCTCCCGGATCGCCGGGACCCAGCCCCACCCGGCCCGGCCTGCTCCCTCCCACCCGCGCCCCACCAGGTGAGCGCGGCCAGGGCGCCCCTCCCCGCCCCGACGAGGCGCCGGGAACCCGGGGCCGCCGCGTCCGCCAGCCCGCCCGCGCGTTCGCCGCGCGCCTGGGGAAGGGTGGGGGCGGGGCAGCGCCCAGCGCGACCCCGGCCCCCGGTGGCCCCGTGCCCTGCCCCCAGCCCGCTGGGGTCGCGTCGGCCCGTACCTGCAGCATCTGGGGGCGCGGGGCGCCCAGGTAGGTCGCGCGTGCGGGCGGCGCAGAAGCTCGCTCGCGGCGCGACCTGGCCGCCGTCTGAGCATGCCCAGTGCCGCCCGCGGGCGGCTCCCGCCAGCCCGGCTGGCCGCGACGGGCCCGCGCGCCGGGCGGGGGGCGGGCTCCCGGAACGCCCTGCGGGACGCCCCCGCCCCCACCCGAGGCCGGTGTGCTCGGACGCGTCTCCCAGGGCCACCAGGGCTCTCTTGACGAGTTCCGTGCAGCCCGGTGTCCCCTCGCACATGCACGCAGGCATTCGTTCCATTACCATTTATTGGGCACCTACTGTGTGCCCAGCGCTAAGTGATTTTATGCCTAGGAATGTCGAGCAGCCGGCGATAAACAAATTTTTGACTTAAGGAGAAGTCTTGCCCAGCTGGGGTCCTGCTGACTCCCAGTGCAGTGCCCATCCCGTTCCACTAGAAACTTCCTGGCTTGAACTTTCTTCCCAAGACTTATGGGCCCTTTACCTGATCTGGCTCCTGCATTCCTGCAGCCCCGTGAGCACCTTTCTGTCCATCAAACACTCAGAACTTGTCTAGCCTCAGGACATTTACACATGCCTTTCCTCCTCTGTGTGGGACGTCTTTGCCCAGCTATTGCCGTGGCTGGAACCTTCTCATTGCACGTAGGTCCTCCTTCTCCAAGGCCTTCCCTGACCACCTTACTAAGTTAGCCCTCTGTTCCATGTCCTCACTTTATTTTCTTCACATTTATCACTATCCATTAATTCATTCAACAAGTAATTATTGATCACTTACTCTGATTCTTCACGTGTGCTGAATAGACAGAAATCTTGTCCCTTGCCGGAGTTTGGCGGAAGAGAGGCAGGCGATACACAATAAACAAGCAAAAAAGCAAACTGCGTAGTAGAAGGTGATACGCTTTACGAGGGGAAAAGAAACTTGGGGTGGAGGGAGTGCAGTTTTCAATGACGTGGTCAGACATTTCAGCCACGCAGATAAATTGGGGAGAGCATTTCTGGCAGAGGGATCAGCCAGTGCAGACACTAAGGCGCAGGACTGCTTAGGAAATAGCAAGCAGGGCAAAGTAGCAGGAGATGAAGTCGGTAACTGCTTTTCCCCTGATTTGCTTACTTATTGTGTATTCACCTCTGGAATTTTAGCTCTGGGGCTGTAGCCCTGCCCGTCTTCACGACGTTGTCCCAGCCCCTACGACAGCACCTGGCACAGTAGGTGCTCAAAAACAGTTTGTTGAATGAATATGTGAATGAAAGGATGGAGTGACGGCTGTAATCATCCTGTCCGGACCAGATGCCTTAGGGTCCAAGGGCCCTGTGGGCCTAGGACCATTCGGCGGCAGCTGGCAGCACCTGGTGCTTCAGTTCGGTCCCTGCCCCCGAGTTGCGCCCCTGCACAGGGCGCCGCCCGAGCGTCTTGTCCGTGGAATTTCAACGGAGCCAAGGAGTCCCCGGAACAGAACCCGCCCGGACCCGCCCCCGGACCTCCGGTCGCCAGCAAAACCTGGAGTTGCAGCGCTCTCCCGGCACCATTGGGACGGCGGGGAGTGCACTGGGCATGCTCGGAGCCGGGCGGGGCCCGAGAGCCCGGGAGGTGGAGCCTCCTGGCGGGGCGCACGACACCTCCCGCGGAGCTCAGCAGGCCCCTCAGCCCCTCAGTTCCCGCCCTCAGTTAGGGTGGGGTCTGGGGGCATTTTTTGTTTTCAAAGCCCAGTGGGAAAGCTGGGAATTCATAATCCGCGAAAGACGTTCTTCGTCCTCTCCCAGCCGCTGTGTGACCTGGGGTAAGAACCTTACCCCAAATGATATGAATACCTACCCCTGTGCTTCAAATAATATGAATACCTACCGTTTCGGTCTGGGCCCTGTGTGGGGAATGAATGAAATCAAGAACGTGAGCAGGTTTAGTCCACTTTAAAGATCCACTTTTTGGGTGCCTACCTCAATTATCAGTCATCCTCATACCAGTTTGTCAAGTGCTGAGATGAGGAAACTGCGGTTAATAAGCATGAGGATTCTTGGCGTTGTCCCAATTTGCCTTACGCTAGAAACTAGGCTGAAGCTACCTCTTCTTTATCCACAGTGAACAGTCAGTAGCTTATACAGTGCTCAAATTCGAGCTAAAAGATATCTATACACCTAAGGAAAAAGACCTAAATATTTTTTAAACCGTGCATTTCAACTCACCATAGCAGAAACAGGAACAAAAGGAAAGAATATTCCCCAAGCAAATAAATGTTCACAAACAGAGGAATGATTAATTCGATTATGGTATATTTGTTGAAATAATAACTATTTTACACTAAACTAAACCGTGTTGCAACAGGAGGAAACTTACAGTACAATGTTAGGTGAAAAAAGGCTGAAAATACAAATACCCTGTGTAATGGAAATATGGGAAAATGTAAACAGTCTGATTTTGGTGGGTAGTGAGGTTGGTTTTTCTTTTTAAGTTTATCTGTTACTGTCCCAGTGTTGTGTTTGCAATGATAAACATTTAAAAGATCAAATCAAAAATTCTTCACGTTTTGTGTGTCTAATAATAACAGTAATAACTACTATTATCAAGCTCACGTGTGATCAGTATTTTACACATATTCTGTCTTTACTGCATACAGTCATTCTGCAGAGTGGGTGTTTTTAGGTCAGTTTTACAGAAAAGGAAGCGGTCTAGGAGCCTTTCACAACTAGTAAGGGACAGGGTCAGGATTTGAATGCAAGTTGGACTGACCTCAAAGCCAGGGTCAATATTTATAATATTGCCTCTCTGCTTGCCATGTATCGATCATAAGAGAGACCGCATATTTCATTTTTTGTGTTTTTTTGCCTTATTTTCTCTACCCTTTTGATATGTTTATATGCTGTAGATTACCTTTAAATGTTCTGGTCTCCTGTTACTGTTTTATTCTTGGGGCCAAAATGTTAAAGTTCATCCTTTTAAACTGTTGCACCTGGAGTGACAGGATGTTATTATCAGCAATGTCAGTTGATCTTATAAGCTCCCAAACCTTATGCAAATGAGACTTTTGGATGGACATATAATCTTCTTAGTCTATGTGGTTGAACCCAGCCAGATCTAGAGCAAATAGAGACCCAATGAGGAACAGGGCTGTCCCAAGTCTCAGATAATGAGGACCCACCTAGATTACTGTCCCTGGGCAATCATTTTGGAGGCAGAATCACAACATAAAGGCACCACATGGTCCATGGACTCCTCAGGACTCTGCTGCGATGAAAAAGTACAGACTTGATAGTGTGATGATGTTTGCAGAGAGAAAGCCAGGGCCCTAAAAGCAGCCCTCCTACTGCTGGTAAGCTAAAAAAAGTCAGGTCTCTCTTTCAATCATGCTGGTAGACTGTACCTGGCCCAGAAACCACTAAACAAACCACAGTAAACACAAAAAGCCAAAGAGAGTCATTTCATTGGAGAGGAAGACATACCACAAACCCAATATGCATCACTGGTAAGGCACAAATTCATTTAAGAGGGACAAGATTAACGACCGGACACAGTTACTAGCAGCATTCCCAGAAGCTGCCATTTGGGCAGAAAATCTGGTGCCAGGTACTGCACCCAGGCAATTGGCTGAGGGCATTTCTAGGACGAGTTTCCTGGAAGAATCACTGCGATTGTCATTCATATCAAGACTCAGGAAGCCTGGGCACCACGTGGACTGTTTTCAATGATTTATGAGGCTGGGCTCCCAGCTGAGATGCTAATGCTCATCAATTATTTGTGCTGTTAACGCAAGCTCACGGATACATGGGCAAGTGGTGCTGTTATAATGACAAGTGAAAAGAATAGGATGTAAAATTATACGCATAGTGTGGCTTCAACCGTGTGAATGACTAGGATATACCATATAAAATCGCCATTTCCTAGGTCAACAATGGTTGAATATTGGCAACTTCTGATATTTCCTCTTAATACATACACATAGAAAAAGGGCTAGGAAGAAATGCACCAAAATATTAATGGGGGCGGCTGTGTCTGAGTATTGCGTTTATAAGCAGAGAAACAAAGTACAGAAGGTATCTTTTACAAATCAGGGGAGTTTCAAGTCTTTGGGCATCTATTTCTCTGTACGTTTTTAGAGGTCCCTAACTCTTGTTTTACGGTAAGTGTGTTTCTTTTATTATCAGGAAAAATGAAACAAACTTGAAAGTTGGCAAGCCAAAGAAAGCGAGGCAGAGAGAGGGAAAATGACACTCAAACTGGGCGAAAACGTGAGAGGTTCCTTTCACAGAGACCTGTCTGTGCTTGTCCGGAGGTGGCAGATCGCGACAGGCTGTCTGTCCCTGGCCCAGGAGGGAGGGAGAGGAAGTGGTCAAGTCAGGAGCCTGTAGAGACGTGTTAGTCTGACTTGGGACCCCTCATCCCCTCAGCTTGCATTCTTGGAATTCTTGGACCACATAGATCTCACTTTGAGAAACA